TCAAGAGATCCTCCCACCTCAGCCTCCCAAAGTGCTGGGATTACAGGTACAAGCTACCATGCCTGGCCTATGTAGGTGCTATTTCCAGCCGAGTCAGTAGTAATCTGTGACTGCATTTCTTGTTCAATCTTTGTGTCCTTTAAAGTTAATAATTGTCTCTCTTGCTTGTTTTCTATGTAGTTATCACTAATCAACCCCCAATTTATGCCAGTTCTCTAAGTCTTATTTTGAGGTATTTAGATAGGTTAGACTTATACTTATTTACCTTCCTGAAGAAGTTGCTTCTAGAACTTTCTACCCCATTCCATTCTGGCCTGGTCATCTTCTAATCCTGGGACCTCCCTTTACCATTATCCTGTGGATTCAGTTCCCCTCAACCCATGTTGGACAGAGAATTACAAGAACCTTCAGTTTCCTGAAGAAATACAGTTTCCAGCCTAGACAAGCAGTCAGTCCATGTGAGAGTATGGTAAATTTTTTCAGACGTGCAAGTTCTCGACAGCAGCCAATTCCCCTTGAATGCTATGTTTCCTTGGGAAATTGCTAGAGGAGTTGCTTCTCTAAAATAACAGAAAGAGGAAGCGTCCTGGGAAACCTCACACAAAACGACTGTACTGTGCTGCAAGCCCATCTCAGTCTAGAAGTTCGGTCTTCAGTGCTGGGGAATTTTCTTGAAAGAAAATTTCTATTAGTTTTTCCTGCCGTGATCCATAGTTATTTTTTGGCAGTGAGGAATAAGAGTTTAAAAAGTGAATGAAAACTCTAGGTGGGGACAGGGTCCCTCAGTCACTGTGCGGTGACTTGGCCACACTGTCTATTTGGGGAAGGACGCTGCACATGTCATTGTCTCTTAAGTCTTTCTCTTGGCTGGTCAGGTCCTCCTGCTTGGGGGTAAAGGCCTGGCTACCAGCATTCCTAGAACTGACCACCGTAGGTCACAAGAGGTTGGAGGGTTCCAGAGGGCACCTCACCCCCACGTGCCAGCCTTGCCCTCCCCTCTTTGTGGCCAGCACACTTCTCTTGCTCTTGCAGTGCCAACCCCAGCCAGACAACTCCTCAGTGGGAAAGGGCCAGGACCAGGCTTTCCAGAGCTGGGGTGTGATTTTAAATAGGCTTTCTTTCTGACTCTCAAATTTTTGTTACCCCTGTTGCCTTTCCTTCTTTTGAGGATTTATGTCCTTTTTAAAAAGCTCCTTTTCTGTTGTTCTAGTGAGGTTTTAAGAGAGATGAGAAGAAGATACTAGTGTGCAAGCTACCGTCTTTACTCAGAAGTCTGTACCAGCCTAACTTCATAGGTATCATAGCATTGAATGAACTAATTTGATTGGCTGGGGCGCGGTGGCTCACACCTGTAATCCCAGCACTTTGGGAGGCCTAGGCGGGCAAATCACCAGGTCAGGAGTTTGAGACCAGCCTAACGACATGGTGAAGCCCCGTTTCCACTAAAAATACAAAATTAGCCAGCTGTGGTGGCACGTGCCTATAATCCCAGCTACTTAGGAGACTGAGGCAGGAGAATCGCTTGAACCCGAGACAGAGGTTGCAGTGAGCCAAGATCACACCACTGCACTCCAGTTGGGGTGACAGAGCAAGACCCCATCTCAAAAGAAAAAAAAGAACTAATTTGTTTCAAGTGGCAGTCATTCTTCATATATGTTACTATGTGGAACAAAATAATAATAGGCATCCCACTCAGGTAGACAGATACCATTCTTCCAGGTAGGACTGTGGTATGGACAGTACTTTAATGTTTTCTGTATTTTAATGGTAAAGTTGAGCATGTGTAGACAGGTGTTTATAGGATGAATCACTAGCCAGACACTTGTAAGCTCCTATAGAACATTAATAGCTATACCTTATCCTACTTTTTTCCTTAAGACAGCTGTGAAAACAGACAGACTAGGAAAAAACCCTGAAGGAAATATTTTTACTGATGGGTCAGAAGAGGTTTTATTTTATAGTTGTTCATCCAAAGCATACTTGTCTTTAGGCAAAGCAATTGATTTGTTTTAAATTAAGAAAAAAAGCTTAATACCAGCAACATACATAGTCTTTGTAACATTTTATCTATTTATTAAATATGACTCTTACTTTAATAAATATAGTAAGATGAAAAGAAAATATTTGCCCTTGGTGTTTTTTTAACCTGAAAATGTGTAATAGGCAGTTAGGTATTCATTTGAAAATATCTTTGACCATATCACCTGTCCGATACCTACAGATAACTCCAGAATTTACATCATAGCCCCCTTCTTTCTCCTGAGACATGGCGCTTAGTTCTCAGACACCTAGTGGTGTCCGTCTGAATCCTGGTGCTCTTCTCCCTGTATCACAGGCATAGGCAGCCCTAAATGGAGCGTGATTTCTTCCCGTTTACTCTACCCCTGCGTTTTTTCCTAATGCTCACCAGTGATGGATCCTAACTCACTGTCGCCAGCTTTCTGGTTGCTTAAGCTACATGTTTGAGAGAGGTTTCTAACCGCTTTTAATTCTTAACCCTCCTATCTCCATAGCTGAATCTGTCAATTCTAATTTAGAACTGTATCTCACAATTATTCTTTCCTAAAAACTGTTCCCATTGCCCTAATTCAGACCATCTCTCTCACCAGTTTCTTAAAATGGCTTCTTAGTCTTCTCATGATGCTAACTTCTTACTCAGCAGTCTGTCAGACATCATGCTGCTGCAGACTCGAAGCACAATTTTGGGTTGTTTATTTGTTTGTGACAAGGTCTCTCTGTCACCCAGGCTGGAGTGCATGGCATGATCTCAGCTCACCGCAGCCCTGACTTCCCAGGCTCACATGATCCTCCTACCTCAACCTTCCAAGTAGCTGGGACTACAGGCGTGCACCACCATGCCTGACTAATTTTTTATATTTTGTGTAGACAGCGTCTCACCATGTTGCCCAAGCTGATCTCGAACTTCTGGCCTCAAGCAGTCCTCCCACCTTGGCCTCCCAAAGTGCTGAGATTGCAGGTGTGAACCAACACCTGGCCAGAAGCACAGTTCTGTCATCTGAAGAGTCTTGAAGCACACTTCTGTTGATCATCCATCTTCTCCTTCCTCCCTGCTTCCCTGTCTCCCTCCTTCTTCGTTTCTCTTCCTTTTCCTCTTCCTCTTCTTCCTCCCCCTCCTCCTCTTCGCTGGTGGTTTCCCCTTATATCTTCAAAATAACAGTCATGGTATTTAAAATCCTTTACAGTATGGCCTGATCAAAAAATTGTTTTTGAAATTGCATCATTCTTATGTCACCAGACTATTCACCACTTCTGTCGGCTGGAAACGCTGTTTCTTCAGATTTCTACTTGTTGAAACCTCATCTTTCAAGCCGCCTCCCTGATGCCACACCCCCCAAGGCCCCTCCTGGGGTGTCTTTTGTTGGGATTCCTTTATCTGTCCTCTCCTGTGACACTTTCAGCATTACCGAGCAGCCCTCAGAAGGGGCCTAGTAGCAAATGTGTTTGCAGTGTTTTTTCTTCCTTACTAGATTAGGATCAGGAACCCGATCTTACCTTTCTTTTTCCCTTCGTCCTAAGTCTGTCTTGGAAATGATGTTTAATCAGGGAAGACTTGTTGCATTTAATATCTCAGAATTTTAGGTAAGGGTTTATCTGTTTTTAGGTATATACAAATAATAAACAGGCCAAGTTCCTTAATATCTTATGATTTATTAAACTTTTGTATAGGTCTGTCAGTATCACAAGTAATAGTCAGAACTCAACTGCCTGCAACCTTATTTACTCTCAACAGTGGAGAAATAGTAAAGTAGTCTGTTCAGCAGAGTCAGAGTCCATCACAAACAGGTCAGCTTTTTCCAGCAGTGTTCAGGGCTGTTTACTCTGATTGACAAACAATTCTAAGTAGGCTGTTTGATCTGGCTTCCAAGCCTATAGCAGAGAAGGAACGATAAGACAGTCCTAAATGTGTAAGATTCTCTGTCATCTACTTAAGTGAACAGGTAAGTTTACAGTACAGTTTTAGAAAACTTTCCATTGAAAATGGTACGAATAAAAAGGAATTTAGTGTCAGTCCCAAGCTATCTAAATGGGTCTCAGTAGCCAAAGTTTTTGTGTCTGAAGGATACACAATATCCTTTGACAACAATTAGTTGACCTGAGGGGAAATATTAATGAAATCACCCGGTAGGAGATGGAAACGTCCCTTCTGTTTCCCAGTAACTCAGCTGGAATTGGTAAACTTACATCACCAGCTTCCTCCATCCCACCATGTGAGTTACTGACTTTGTATACTTCCTCTCCCAGTTTTGGAATCTGAAGTTGAAAGAATTGCTTATTTTAAGTCAGCGTAGTAACTAAGCTTTGTTTAAAAGCCCTGTTTTCAGGTACAGTGGCTCACACCTGTAATCCCAGTACTTTGGGAGGCCAAGGCATCAGAAATTGCTTGAGCCCGGGACTTCAAGACCAGCCTGGGCAACATAGTGAGACCCATCTCTACAAAAAATAAAAAATTAGCCAGGTGCGGTGGTACACCTGTGGTCCCAGCTACTTGGGAGGCTGACTGAGGTGGCAGGATCACTTGAGCCCAGGAGGTTGGGGCTGCAGTGAGCCGTGATTGTGCCATTACACTCCAGCCTGGGTGACAGAGTGAGACCCTGTCTCTAAAAAATAATAAAAGCCATGTTTTAAAAACTTACATATTTTCTTGAAAGGTACTTTTTGCATTAAAATGTTAATTGAAGAAATTCTTTCTAATGCGTTAAGCATAAAGTTAGCCAAAAGACTCATTCTTAGCTCATTGTGTGTAATGGCCAACTGGTGTAGATCATCTGCAAAGTAGATTAGTAGAGGTTCTTTTGGTGGTGGCAGCTGAAACCTAGGGGCACAATGGAAGTCCTGGAAGAAATTTCATAATGAGTTAATAATGTATGCCTCGTGCCGCTTATTAATTTATAATAGAATCAGTGTTTTAAAACCATGTTCCTGGTCAAATTTTAATCAGATATTAACTTAAATTTTTACATACTTTTTCCTCCTTATAGAGTCTTCCTAGTATTCTCACCGATGATCGATTTAAAGTTATGTTTGAGAACCCTGACTTCCAAGTAGATGAAGAGAGTGAAGAATTTAGGCTTCTGAATCCACTTGTTTCAAAAATTAGTGAAAAAAGGAAAAAGAAGCTAAGACTCTTAGAGCAACAAGAACTGCGTGAAAAAGTATGTACTCCTTATCATTTAGAATTTGCTACTGTTTCTTTAATATAATGTTTTCTTTGTCAGTTAGAAGAGTCTTCGATTATACTTGAGATGTAATTAATTCCATATTAAGTGATTGACATTGGGCTTAGGAGTATTATCTTAGTTAATTAAAGGCATTTCTCCTGATGCATGCAGTAGAGTAGCTGTTAGGCACTCATTAATGGGCCAGTTGCTGCTTCAGAGAAAACAAGGGGTCTGTGTTTGGGGGAAAGGAGTTGCTGCTTACTATTTTTATTCTCAGGAAGAGGAGGAAGAGCCGGAAGGAAAACCGAGTGATGCAGAAAGTTCGGAGAGTTCAGATGATGAAAAAGCCTGGGTTGAAGAGGTCAGGAAGCAACGCAGACTCCTCCAGCAGGAGGAAAAAGTGAAGCGACAGGAACGACTCAAGGAGGACCAGCAGACAGTCCTAAAGCCCCAGTTTTATGAGATCAAAGCAGGAGAAGAATTTAGAAGCTTCAAAGATTCTGCCACAAAGCAGAAACTGATGAAGTGAGTAGCACTGCCTGAGCACACAGTTGACATGTAGCCAAGCCCTTGCTTTTCCTCTCTGGCACATCGCCCTAAAGATAACATTTCTGTCTTTGGATGATGGAGGTGCAGAGGGTAGAGGGGACGAGGGAAGCGGGAGGTAAGGCCATGTGGGAGGTGATGTGAGGGAAGCATGCAGGAGGCCTGAGGGGAGTGTTGCTATTGAAGTACATTGGTCTCTAGGGGATTTACTTATTTGTCACAACTTTTTGAGGTATAGTTTACATGCAGTAAAATATAGGGTAGAGGTAGCCTTATGAGTATCAGTGGAACACTTTTAAGCTGCAAAAGCCACACACTTTCCTTGTCCTTGTTTTTCCCCATGAGGTTCCCTCACCTACAAATACTTATTCTGTGCCCTACAGATCGGTGCTTTGACGCCTTTTGGACGGTGCTTGCTAGGAGATGACAACTTTTCTGCTTCTTCACAAAGTTATTTTAAAAAGTTAGAACCTCGGTTATGTTTACCCCATCTCGCTTTACCTGGTTATTGAAAAAGTTACTTGGAAAATTTGCCAGAAGTTTTAAGTCTTTTTCGGGAAAATTGAGAGATGAAAAAGAGTGGTATTCTAGAATAGGCAAATATGTAGAAAGAGGCAGAAAGCAGAATGGTGGTTGTCGAGTGTTTCATGGGTACAGAGTTTCAGGTTGGATTATGAAAATGTGCTGGAAATAGTTGGTAGTGGTGCTTGTACAACAGTGTGAATGCACTTAATGCTGCTGAACTGTCTACTTAAAAATGAATAAAATGGTAGGTTTTATGTTATATTTACCCCCACTCCAAAAAATTTAACCTTCCCCGGAAAAGGTAGTTTTATTTGAATAATTTTCAGTTGTCAAGAGTCTGCATGAGGAACAAGCTAGGTGTCAAGCCCAAGTTGTATATAAACTCTGAATTATGCAATTCTCCGCTTTGAGAATTCTTAGGCAAAGTATTGATGCACAGGATTGGAATATGATAGACAGTCACAGGAGGTGTCTTAAAAGAATAACTGGAATGTCTGGGGAGCCAAGGGAGCAGTCTTGAGGTGGAGCAGAAGGATTGGGCAGAATAGACGAGGTGTTAGCTTGGGGTCAGTACATTTCTGTACCTTGCACTTCTCCAGCTCCCAGCTCTCCATGCAGGAGAAGGTGTTTTTTCGAAGTGGGAGGAGGAAAAGGGTGGGGAGGACATCAGTGAACAGGTGGAATTCTTTCTGGGGTTGAGATGTATTTTATTCATCTTTATTTCACCATCTTCTAGCAAGTATCTGCAACACCAGAGGTAGTGAATCCTTCAATTTAGAATTCAGAAGCACCTCAAAATTCTGGTTCTGATGAACTAACAAAAGATGTGTCCATGAATAAAGAAGCTAGTAGAGTTGACCCTTGAACAACTTGAGGGCTAGGAGTGCCAATGCCCTGGAAAGTAAAAAAAAAATGTGCATTTAGGCTGGGCACGGTGGCTCACGCCTGTAATCCTAGCACTTTGGGAGGCCTAGATGGGCGGATCATGAGGTCAGGAGTTGAGACCATCCTGGCCAACATGGTGAGATGCTGTCTCTACTAAAAATACAAAAATTAGCTGATGTGGCGGTGCATGCCTGTAGTCCCAGCTACTCAGGAGGCTGAGGCAGGAGAATTATTTGAACTTGGGAGGTGGAGGTTGCAGTGAGTCGAGATCGCACCACTGCACTCCAGTCTGGCAACAGTGCTATACTCCATCTCAAAAAAAAAAAAAAGAAGATATATATATATATGCATGCATTTAACTTTTTGTGTTACTTACTTATTTTCACTAGAAAGTCTAGACCTAACACATACAACTTTTGATTTCTCGAAAACTTTTTTTTTTTTTTTTTAAACCTTCCTGGTGACTTAGATCCTAGAATATCCCCGAAAACATTACTAATAGCCTACTGGTGACCAGAATTTTTACCAGTCAGGGGTCAATTACCACATATTTTGTATGTTCTATGTATCGTATACTGTACTCATACAATAAGATAAGTTGGAGGAAAGAAAATGTTATTAAGAAAATCATAAGGAAAGGAAAATATATTTACTATTCATTAGATGGGAGAGGATCATTGTAAAGGTCTTCATCCTTGTCTTCATGTGGAGTAGTCTGAGGAGGAAGAAGAGGAGGGATTGGTCTTCCTGTCTCAGGGGCAAAGAGAGAACAGGAGGAAGTGAAAGGGAGGCAGGGGAGACAAGTAATGGTGTTAACTTTTATTGGAAAAACTGTGTGTAAGTGGAGCAGTACAGTGCAAACCCATGTCGTTCGAGGGTCAACTCTAGTGTTCTTGATATCTTTTGAAGATGTTTTCTTTACTGACCAACTTCACTTTTTAAAATAACAACTTTCTTGAGATATAATTTATGTAACATACAATTAATCTACTAAAAGCATGCAGTTCACTGGTTTTTAGTATATTCACAGAGTTCTGGAACCATCACCATAATTTTAGAACATTACCGTCACCCCAAAAGGAAACCCCATGCCTCATGGGCAGTCACCCCACATCACCCCATATCCCATCCTGAGGCAGCCAATAGTTTACTTTTCTGTCTCTATCGATTTGCCTATTCTGACATCTCGTGTGAAAGGAACTGTACGATGTGTGGCCTTTTGTGGCTGGCCTCTTTCTCTTAGCACAGTGTCTTTAATGTTCATCCGTGTTGTAGCATCTGTTGGTATAGTCGGCCCTCTGTATCCGAGGGTTCCTCATCCATAGATTCAACCAATATGGGTTGAAAATATTCAGAAAAAATTTGTAACCGTACTGAACATGTACAGACTTTTTTCTTGACTTTATTCCCTAATCAATAGTATAACAACTATGCATGTAGCATTTACATTATATTAGGTATTATAAGTAATCTAGAGATAATTTAACATATAGGAGAAGATGTGCACAGATTATATGGAAATAACCACACCATTTTATATGACTTGAACATCCATGGATTTTAGTATCCAAGGGAGGTCCTGGAACCAATTCCCCAGCGGATACCAAGGGACAACTCCACTCCATTTGTTTTCATTACCAAGTAATATTCCAGTGTGTGTGTAGACCAGTTTATGTAATCCTTCGTCAGCTGATGGACATGTGGGTAGTTACAACTTTTTGGCTATTATGAATAATGCTGCAGCGAACATTGGTTTATACAGTTTTACATGTGTTTTGCATATGTTTTCATCTATGTATAAGAATCAGAAGAAATTGCTGGTCATATAGTAACTCTTACGTTTAGCCTTTTCAGAAACCGGCAAACTTGTCCACAGGCTGCACCATTTTACATTCTCCAGCAGTGTGTGCAGCCTCACTTTTTATACAGCTGTTATGTGTAGGTGTTTTATTGGGAGTCCTACTTGGTTTATGCTGTTCTGGTTCTGTGGATTAAATTTATTTGTTGAGTATATGCTGTTTTTGTCTTGCTCTATTTACTGCTTTATCTCTGGCTCTTGATTAAGTACTTAGAATAGAGTGGGCACTTGAGAAATACTTGCTGAAAGTTGAATCTTCTTTGCCATGACAACACATCAGGCAACTCAGAAGTTACTCCTTCAAAATCTGCTGAGAAAGGACTCATTTTCCCCATAGCCATTGACCAGGAAAATCTGGGAGCAGTTGTTTTGAGTGTGACCACGGCAACAGGAGGCTGTGATTTGGGGGTAGGCAGTCTGACTAATCTCTCTAACATTCTTCCTTTTGCCTGGGGGCTGTAGTAGGAAATGGAAGTATAAAACAAAGGGAATAAAAATTTATATCTAAGAATAAACCATAGTGAGGTGAATAAACTGTAGTTAAACATTCTAAGTTAAATATCACCAAGTTAAACATTCTTACTAAGTTAAATATCACCAAGTTAAACATTCTTACTAAGTTAAATATCACCAAGTTAAACATTCTTACTAAGTTAAATATCACTAAGTTAAACATCCTTTTTGAGAACTATGTAAGTGATAATATTTACATGAGTATTTAGTGAAGCATTAAACCATGATCCTTCAGAGAACTAAAGTGACTCTGTATGTTTATTCTGCAAGTTACCGCAAGCCAGTCAACAAGAGACAACATCAGATTGAATGTGTTCTATTTAAATGTTGACTTGGACTTGCCCAGCTTTAAAACTGTTTCTATAAAGGGAAAGGTGGATCATGAATGGTAACTGGAGACTTGAGTGAGCTGTCTGCGTTGCTTGGTGTGGTCATATGGCTTTAGATAAACGTGTGTCTGTTGACATGTATTTTTATGCCTTACAGTGTGCTAACGTTATTTGTGAGTCTGTTCATCCACTTATCAGCCTCTCCACCACCCATTCATCAAGCATTTATCAACTGCTCAGTGCGAGCAGACCCACATTCTAGTCCCAGGGTATGGGAAGAAAGACGTGGCCTGTGTACCTGAAGCATTCATGGGAAAAGACCATAAGAAAGAAGGAGCTGAATTTGGGGGCCCTTGAAGTCATATGGAAACTGGTTGTGGAAAGATGCAGAGTGGAGCACTCAGGGCTGGTGGGAAAGATAGCATTCCTGGCAGAGGCACAGCACAGCCACAGGCGGGCTGTTCAAAGGGTGGGGGGTGCCTTCCTGCAGCCAGAGCACCGGGTGCCTGAAGGGGTGGCCGAGCAAGCACTGGAAAGCCACAATCTGAACAGCTTAGATGAATGGGATCAAATCTATTCCAACCCCTCCCCTAGTATTATAAGTACTTTTATAATAAAAGCAGTACATATTTGTTATAGCAAATAAAAGCATAGGCATAAAAAGTCCCTAATCCCAGAAACCCATTAGCAAAATATCTCCATTTTAGAAAGACAATGTGCGGAGAAGCTGGACACCCAGAGACCAGCTCTCAAACTATTAGAATCGTCCCAGTTAGAAGGGCCACAGGCCTGAATAATGGGGTGGAGAGGAGCAGACAGACCAGAAGACTAAGAGTGAGAAAGAAAAATGGGCACAGACTCCACCGTCA